GTGCTTAGGATAATATTAGCTCCGGTGCTCATTAGATCATTTCTTTATATATATATATATATATATATATATATATATATACACAGTTGTATCTATTGTAAGTTTGTAACTAACAACTATAAGTTTTTATCGTCCAAGAAAACAATGTACACGGTTGGTTTCTGTTTACGCTTCTTCTTCTTTTTATGTTCCATTTTATACGAAAATTGATGTATGTACTTGGACAATATTTATTTAAGAATAACAAGTTCGAAAATTAATGGAGTATTTACTATCTACCCGATTTAAAAGAGGAACAATCTAACATAATTGAAAGAACTTCAAGTCATATATAGTGTTGTAAAGTGCTCGATCAAAAATGAACAACTATAAATTCGAGAAGCCTCATCTACTTTATTAAATAGCCGGAAAGAGATGCAGTCGATTGGTAACTCGATATCTATCTAGCGAATGATCCACTAATGACCATTTCCCTTCATTAAATTTTTGAATTAAAGAACGTCGATTGTAACGATTCCTATTAGAAGTGATTATGACAATTGAGTATAAACTACAATAGCTACGTAAAATACAAGAGTAGAACCGTTCATTGAAGAGAGATCCTAATTAGTCAATTGTTTGAGTGGTGACCCATAAGCGCAATCTAGTGGAATAGAGATACAATCATACAACCATGGACTGAAGATTATTAAACAAATTTGAATGATAACATCGATAATATTATTCTAATGATACTATAATAGACGGTACAAATATAAATAAATAAATTTATCACTTCGTTTAAACTTCTAGTAATATAGTTGAAAATTAAATTTTATTCTTAGGGGGTGTTTGACACCCATTTTTGTGAAAGAATATGTTTTTGAATAGTGATTGATGGAAGAATGTGTGGTTAAAAAGTAAGGAGAATTTTTAGGTTTATGTGTAATATTATTTTATTGATAGAATGTGTGGTTGAAATGAAGAAAGAGAAAAAAATGAGAATGAGAATGAGAAAAAAATGGGTGCCAAACGGGGGCTTAATATGTCAAAATAACAGAAAGATAGCTGTGAGAGAAAAAATAAAAAAATTAGTAAATAAAACTTTTTCCACCTTTAAATTTATTTCTTGTAACCAAATCTAAGGATCATAGGCTTGAAGACCTTTTCATACGAATTTTTCTATTTCCACTTAATGTTTAGATCCACCGACACTTGAAGCCTTTTTAACTGTAATTGAATAAATTGATGTAATCCCTCGAGCAGTCCTTGAGTCGTCAGCTTGTAGTCACAGGTTGGTGCAGTTTTGCTTTGTTGGCACAATGGAGGACTGTGAACGCCAAAGCATCAACCGTCCAGTTGTCGAGAGTATAGAGATAAGCTTTCCCTTTCCAAATATGACGTTCTGAAGCTATTTTACGTATCGCTTTAATGGGCGAACAGCCCAACCCTTGGAACATACTACAACTCTAAGCGGTGGGATTGATCTTGAACGAATGAATAATTGATTCGCCTAGTTCGTAGTTTCAATCTTACTTGGATTGCTTCAAACAACATGATTCACTTCTTTAAGTCATTGATTCATTCCTCCCCTGACAGAAAATCTGCTGGGTTTACGAGTGGGCATTTTATCATATATTTCTAATCTACCTTTGTATGATTCCTATGGGTGAAGTGGTAAACTTAGAGGGCGCCCTCCTGCTCTTCTAGGCCATATGTCACTTTCCTTAGTCCATCAATTCTTATTTACCCGTGCTTGATTGGCGAAGGAAAGCTGGGAATATGGAAATTGGAATATTGGTATTAATGGCCCAACAGAGATTAGTAACAACCTTCAACATTGGGCAGGCGTCAACCTCCATACACGGTCTTACGATTTTACGGAGGCATTCGATTGGCCCAACATTTTACATTTTTCCTATTTTAGATGTTTGGGCCCACCTGTACAAATCAAAGAATAAGCCTCTATTTGGTGGAATTAAAATCGAATTTTTATTAAATTTTGATAGAAGTTGATGAAATTTGTGGTTGAAGAGTTGTGAAACCTATAAAATGTGGTTAGAATTAATTATTGACTTTAAGTTGACTATTTTAATTTTCACCAAACAGGGGCTGAGAATATACTGTAATACTACAATGAACGATTACAAAAACATCGTTATATACATATAATTGCACGAAAAACATGTCATAATTTCTTAACGTTGTACTACAAGTGCACCAGCGATTTTAGTGTAAAGAAAAAAAAAAGATTTACTTGTTTGTTTTCACACTTGATGATAGACCTGAGAAAATGAGATTGATCTTGAAAGTAGCGTTCTTAAACATAATGATTCTATTTTTTCGATAAGAGTTCAAAAAGATGAAGCGTCGCTAAAATATGTTAGATTGTTCAAATTTTTTAATAAAAGTGTCTACGTTGTTTGTGACCAAGTTCTCACACGGGAATTTTGAGGCGGATTCCTATACATGGTCGAGGTGATAGCATAAAAAATCGAAAATCATCTTGAGTGAACACTTACTTGTGTCACGTTTGACAGTATATAGAAAGAAATGGTGGCTTATTTATGGTCGGACAATTTAAATTGTTGGTTTATTATTGATAATGTGGTGGAGAAAAATCTAATTAGTTAGTATTTAGAAACGAGTAAAAAAATTAGAGAAATTTAAATATTGCATACTTACCATTTATTTCAATTTTGTAATATACCAAAGTAGCCTCGTGATATATTATATCGGTAAATACAGTAAATCATTTATAATTATTTTCATGAAGTAACAAAGACAATTATTTTTGAGAATATAGCAATGGAGAACCACAACTTTTCATGTGTGTTGCATTTTGGTAGTCATTGAATGAATGCTAACACACTTTCCTCTCTTATATTATATTATATTATATTATCGAAATGGTAACAAAAATCAAAACCACATTGTACTGTTAATTAAAAATAAAGGGTAAAATCATCCATCAAGGACCTAAAGTTGAGGATGTTAAGTGTTACTTTTAAAAGTTGTGGACCAAAGTGAAAACGTTTGGTAAACATTGATCGAGTAGAACATGCTTTTTCATCTCTTTTAATATATGTAAGACTAAAAAATTAAAATCAAAACCAAGTATTGTTAATTAAAGACAAGGTGAAAACGTCAATCGGCAACATAAGTGCTACCAAATAAAAGATTAAGGATGTAAATGCTAACTTATAAAGGTCAAGGACAAAAGTTCAACAAACACGAATGGTAGGGACCTCCAGTGCTATATACCCAGTTTTTGAAAAAAAAAAAGGAAAAAGAAAGTACAAGTTTTATTAATTAAAAGCAAATCCAAAACCTCTTGATCTCTCGATCTGATGCCTGCACGCAGCTAGCATGTTTAAGTGTTACGCTCTAAATTCAATCAATTTTAGGCATAAACATTTTTAATATATAATTTATGCATATTTAAAGCAAGATCTATTATTTTATTTAATTAATAATTTAATAAATTAAATAATAGAATCCGTAGATTCAAGTTTTGGTAATTTGTTAAAAGGAATTGNATTCAAGTTTTGGTAATTTGTTAAAAGGAATTGTAATTGTGATATACAAATTACATATAATTGAATCTTAAAATATCTGTGGTCGTAAACAATAACAAGATATGAATATCGTTATTACGGATAGACCATCACGTGTGACATTTCTTACTTGTGAAGTAAGTAGATAATCTCACAAGTTAAAGTGTGATGACATTTAAATGAACACGTTGATGTTTTGTTATAAAATAAAACATTGGAGACCCAATGGGGAGATTCCACATGGATAACTATTTGAGCGTCGTGGTTAATATCTAACTTCAGTAGTCGAATTGATCATTTGACTTGAAGTCATTATATTGTCTTATATGAGAATAGTCATAATTTGGTGAAATTGGATGTTATTCTATCAAATGTCTCTAATACGACATCATTCAGGTGTGTCAGAATCATATTAAGGTTGTGAATGATCAATAGATGATTTGTCATTATTAGATAGTAAGAGATTTTGATCTACATTTCATTCAATTAAGTTAATCACGAAATCCTTGGCTAATGTGCACTCATAAGTAAAAAGAAGTTTTGACTTACATTGACTTAATAATGAGATGCAAGATATGATCGATAATTGAGATTGACACACATTCAAATCTCATAATTGATCGGATCATATTGACGAAAATATTATAATTTCACGGTAAATGAACAAATTTTGTTTGAACATTTTTCATTACATGTATTACCCCGATACATTACTAAATGTCAATCTGGAACGACGAATGTGAATTGGTGATGAATTAAAATGTTATTTTAATTTATCGATTTTGATTAGATCAAAATAATAATTCACGTGGCTAGACATCATGACCGGGAACTTGATGGGTCACACACAAAATGAAAACCATGAGAATGAGATTTCAATTAATTAATTAACAAGTGTTGTACAATTAATTAATTGAGTTGCTTGTTAATATGTCTGAATTAATTAAATATTGGACAGAGTTAAATTTAAGAGGCGGGTCAAATTCACTTGGACTTATATTAATAAGCCATTAGGGTTTTAGAAAAAAAAATGGAACATACAATAATTCATATTCTTGTTAGTACAAGAAACTAGAAATACTAATTTTCTCATTCTTGTTCCCCATGTAAATTTTTATTGGAGGCTGGACAATTAGACAATGTGGATTATAGATGGTGATTGTTCGTATTCCAAGATCAGCAAATGAGTTTACATAATCTACAAAATGTGTAATTTCTATCACAATTTCTTTCTAAATATAAAGAAGATCGTTGGTGTGATTGAAATTTATTTTATTTTTCATCGTGCATGTTAAGTAAATTTCCAACAGCACAGTGGTGATGCATTGTTGCGCATGAAGGAGCTCCACTGCACACGAAGCAACAGCGTCGTAAAGAGCCGATAAAGGAGGTGTGAAGGAGTTGATCGGATGAAGAGGCTCCAGTTGTGAAATGAAGCGGCTAGATGATGGATAGTTTATGAAAATAAATTATGGTTTATGGGTTAGGTAGAGTGGATGTGATAGATTAATTTATTTAAATAATACTACTATCAATATTTATAGGGTAGTGCTAAGCTTACAGGGAATTTCAGCCAGAAAGTCACCAGATTGAGTTGGCAGCAACTATTCCTACCTTAGAATGTCTATATTGCCCTTAATGAAATATATTGCTGGTTAAGTCATGTATCTTTTAATTCTTTTGATTTGTGACCACAATAATTATTTTA